ACCAACTACAGGTAGACATAGTCACATAGCACCTGATAATATCAAAGATGTGATGGCATGAGGCCATGGCTTGAATAAAATTCCAAATTAACTAGTCGAATCACTCATACGGATATTAACAATAATTCTTCCAGTCTGTTCGTTGGAGATTAATGCAATTCCAAATTTGACTGTGGAGGGAACATCTTCGACTTTCTTCCACAAGTACAACGAGATATCATCTTTAAGGGAAAGAAAAAAAAAATTTAAGGTTAAATTTATTAATAAATAATGTTATTTATAAAGTTTAAAGTTTAATTTTTGAAATTAATACTAAAAAAATTAAATTTTTTAAATGTATTAAATTAATATGAGATGAGTACTTTTAAAATTACTTGAAAAGAATTAATTTCCAAATATATAAAAATTGATTCGATGACATTTTAATATTAGAAAGAAGAAAAAAAAAACAAGAAGAAGAAGAAGAAGAAGAAGAAGAATTTGAGGCGTCAATAGCCACATTTATTTGGACAGAAAGATAAATGATTGAATACCATCTTTTGGAACCTAATGCAAACAAGACTACCAACAGTGCCTCCCTGTAGTTTCCAGTTTCCACCATTGAAATGACTTACTTTTATTTCCTAAGGTTTTTTTTCCCTGCATTGAGGAAAATCTAGTAAACAGCCGGCACAATGAATACGAGAAGAGATATGAAGATCTTCGTAGGCAAAGCAATCGGATCATTTACGATCACACAACATAAGAACGTACAATCAAGGCGATTTTGATTCGAAAATATGAGTTGCACAATGCAGGAGGAGGAAGAGAGGGCCCTTTTGATTTGCTAAAGTGGAGTCGATCTTAACATTAGTGGGGTTACTTCATTTATTAACATTAAATCACCTTACTTGCATTAGAACACCATGTGGGTTCATCAAGGTTGTGTAGTTCAGGGTTTTAGGACCCAGATTAATTGTTGAGGTGGCTCATCTCTTAGATGGCTGCAAAAATCGCCACATATCTATATATCACCCCTGCTAAACTATACATGAATTGATCCATCACAGTATCACCCTTGCTTTGAAAACCACACACGTTATCTGATGATTTCAAATTTATAATCTTTTATTTTTATTAAAAAATTATTAATTTTTTTTTTTTTTAAAACATGTAAGTAATTTTGTCAATAGTGACGCAAGCAAATTCTCTTTCTAACTAGGTTAATTCTAAAAATTCTATGGGTGGACCATTGATCCATGACATTTTTGGTCCAAGTTGGGACAATATTAATAAATATAGGCCTCTGATTGTTCCACCTATATATGGTTGACACATATCATCTATATTCTTTAATGTTTTAAATAAAGATCTCAATTTTAATTGATATTATCTCAAGAATATCCAGTCATTACAGAAGAAATCTGTAAGCTGCCTAACTGAATAAATGTCCAAGAGCGAACTCTAGATTACTTGGGATGATGCAATATTTTTTCGATCAGCAAAAGAAGGAAGATTGATTGACAAGGAATAGTCCAACTCAATATCTATTGAGAAGTTGCACCGGATCTAGAACACCAATTAATTATAAACCTTTGTTAAAGGTGCACTTTTAGCTTATAAGTGTTTTGTACAAATTCCTCTCTTTTAAATTTGTACTTATTCAAAAAATATATATACATTGAGAAGTGATTCATTTAAATATAAATTTTATATATTATATTTATATAAAATTTTGATAATTTATCTTTTTATTTTTATTAGTTAAGATTTATCATGTTTTTAGATGAAAAAGATAATAATTATTAATAAATGTAAATAAATCTCAATTATTAAAAATAAAGAGATAAATAGTTAAAATTTTATATAAGTACGATATATATAAGTGAATTTTACTCACATGTATTTCAATTGGAAAATGATTAATATACTATCCGATTTAGGCCCCGTTTGGTATAGCGGTTTTAAGGTAGCGGTTAGCGGTTTTACCTAAACTGCTAAATATAAGTGTTTGGTAAATTTATATATTTCGAAACCGCTACAATTAAAGTGTTTGGTAAAATTTTTATTTAGCGGTTTGAAACTAGCGGATAGCGATTAGGATCCAAATCGCTAGCGGATTGAAAAAGCTAGTTTATGTAGCTTTTTGTACAAAACCGCTAGTGGATTAAAATTTTTTAATTTTATTGATAAATTTATCCATTTTAATTTTTTAATTTGTGGTCACATTTTTTAATTAATAATTATC